CAGCAGGGGCAGCATAGGGATGAATAGGGATAGGAGGGCGGTGTCTATACACCTGAACATAGGCTTGCAGACCCATATACAGCTGCAGCTGCTTCTGTTCGCTCTCCTCGGGCTTCAAGAAATAAGCACTGAGAGGGTGAGGAGACACTTCATTCACAGGGACAGCTGTCAAATTATCATACAGCCAATCCGCTGGCTCGTGGATCAGCACTTCGTCATATGTCTGCAGCAGGAGACAGGTGAATTAGAGGAGACAGCAAGCAAATAAATATATTTGCTTATTTATTTTGTTGCTGTCTACATAGGAGACAGGTAGATAGAACGAGACAAGGAGATAAAAGGAGACACGTAGATAAAAGGAGACAGGTGGATATGAAAGGAGACAGGTAGAGATAAAGGGAAGAGAGCAAACACAAGGAGACAGACAGATAAAAGGAGACAGGCAGATAAAAGGAGACAGGTAGATTGACATCGTCTTCAGAGACACAAACACAACCCAGTCCTAAACCCCAAACCCTAAACCCTAATAAACCCTAAACCCTCATAAACCCTAAACCCTAAGAGCTCGCCCTCACCTCTGAAGCGACGCATGGGCCCTGAGGTGCGCCAGGGAGGTTAAGCTGAGGCAAAGGAGACACCAAACAGACAACAGCAATTGAGTTATATATTTTATTTATACGTTTAATGCCACACTGTCTCCTCTTGTCGCTCTCTGTTTTTCTCTGTCTCCGATTCACTGAGGCGCTGGGGTGTCTCTGCTGCTCGCTGCATCGTTGGGGGTCTCAGTCTCTTTCGAAGTGTCTCCTTATCTCTTTACTGTCTCCTTTTCCTTTCCTAAGTATCTCTCTTTTTCTTTAGTGTCTCCACAGTGTATCGTTTTGCTCGCTGTCCTGCCTCTTCGTTTCTCTGTTGTCTCCTCTTGCTCTTTCTGGTGTCTGTTAGTCTCTCTATTATATCGTCTCGCTCTTTGTAATATTTGTTTGTCTCTAAAGTGTCTCCTTGCCCTGTGTTGATCTCTCTACTATCTCCTTTCCTACTATGTAGTGCGTACACGGAGACAATAAAGAGACAAATATACACCATAAGCAGCAGAGGAAGACACTAGCCCCGCAAGTGTCTCCTTTTGTCTCTTTACTGTCTCCTTTTGTCTATTCAGTGTCTCCTTTTGTCTCGTTACTGTCTCCTTTTGTCTCGTTACTGTCTCCTTTTGTCTCGCTACTGTCTCCTTTTGTCTCGTTACTGTTTCCTCCTGTCTGCTTAGTGTCTCCTTTTGTCTGCTTAGTGTCTCCTTTTGTCTGCTTAGTGTCTCCCTTTGTCTCGTTACTGTCTCCTTTTGTCTCTTTACTGTCTCCTCCTGTCTGCTTAGTGCCTCCTTTTGTCTGCTTAGTGTCTCCTTTTGTCTGTTTAGTGTCTCCTTTTGTCTTACTCTTAAGAAGTGGCTCATCTCAACTGGGGGCAGAGTCTCATCAATTAAGAATATCCGCGCAGTTATATAAAACTCCCCCCAACCCGCTTCTGAGACCTCATAAGGAGGCATAGTTAAGGCTGCAAGCACCAGAAAGGAGACACTAAAGGAGACAGATTTATATCTTAATAAAAAGGAGACAGTTAAAGGAGACAACACCACAAAGGAGACATTAGAGGAGACAGATCTATATCTTAATAAGAAGGAGACAGATATATATCTTCAAAAAAACAGATTTGTATCTTAATAAAAAGGAGACAGTTAAAGGAGACAACAGCACAAAGGTGACACAAAAGCAGACAGATCTACATCTTAATAAAAAGGAGACAGTTAAAGGAGGCAATCATGTTACAATAGAGACAGATAGATACATACACAGATATACACACATTAATTAGTATAAGAATTAGTATAAGAATAAAAGGAGACACTTCAGATATAATATACACGCATACACATGCTAATAAGAATAAAAGGAGACATCCACATACTAAGAACATAATGAGGAGACAGCCACACAAAATCATCTTCTATCAACATGTTAAGATAAATATAATAATAAAATTACTGTTCAGCAGCAGAGACACAACAACAAAGGAGACAGAGGCAAAAGGAGACAGGAAGAGACAGAAAAAGACAAGGAGAGACAAAAAGGAGACGAAAAGGAGACGAAAAGGAGACAAAGAGGGACAAAAGGAGACAGAAGGAGACATCAAAAGGCAAGAGGAGACAGATCGATATGAGGGGAGACATAGGGAAGAAGCAAAGAAAACAAAACAGCAATAGATGAGCACCTAAACCCTAAACAATTAGGCCTTATATAATGCCCCCAACGCAAACCCTTAATCCTAAACCCTAAACCCTAAACCCTAATATTAAACTAAACTGCACACAAAAAAGCCCCATAATAACCTTTGCATGCAGCAGAACCGTAAGCCCTCAGTCGTACACCCTAAACCCTAAACCCTAAACCCTTGTGTTATCGGACTTCTTCTGGGGTTAACAAAAGAAGGGTCTAGCTCAAATACAACTTTTTTAATGAAGTGAGAAATGTCTTCGCCGTCAGGAGAACGAAGAAGACACGTCCATTTGTGCGTCATGTCGTTGTGTCTCCTCTTCTCCTGCATGCACGTACACCCCACACTTGCATGCATGCATTTGTATATGCATGCATGCATGCATTTGCATGCGTGCGTTTGTATATGCATGCATGCATGCGTCTGCATATGCATGCATGCGGTTGCATGCATACAAACGCTTTTGCATGCGAGCAGGTGTTTCTGCATGCATTTGCATGCATGCATGTGCTGCTGTTTGCATGCGTTTGCATGCATGCATTTGTATGTGCATGCATGCGTTTGCATATGCAATCATGCATGCATGCATGCATGCATGCATTTGCAATTCATTTAAACCCGTAGACATAGAGAGAAGGATTGTCTGTGTTGCGTATGAAGAAGGAGAGGGGCTGTGTATTAGCAGATAAAGGGTCTACGAATTAGGGTTTAGGGTTTAGGGTTTAGGGTTTAGGGTTTACAGCTTGGGTGAGCTTAAAGGCGTAAGTCCCCATAATGAGGGGCTTGCGAATAGTAAAACCCTTGCGAGTCCTCACGGGGGCAGCAGAGCCCGGAGAAGGAGCACTGAGGCCCTTCATTCTTCTTCAAACCCTAAACCCTAAACCCTAAACCCTAAACCCTTGGATTCTCAACCTCCTCAACGAGGAGAAGAGAGCTGAGCAGCTAATAGTAAGGAGACAGGAGAACGAAGACAGAAGAGAGAGAGAAGGAGACAGTAGGCAGGAGACACTTTATAAGAAAATACTTCTATTAGATATCCCCAAGAGGGTTTATTAACAAACAATAACAGATAATTGATAGATTTGCATAGCAGCAGCCCCTTCTACTGTCTCCTATACCCTGCAAACAACGGGGGCCCCTCTTCTCTGGGGGCCCCCTGTCTCCGCCTAGCTTTCTTTAAAATATGAGAGCCGCAAGTATAAGAGAGATATTCTTACTGTCTCCTTTTATATAAGGAGACTGTTGCATGCGCGTGAGAGAAGGCCCTGGGGCTGCTGCTGCGGTGAAGAGGAGGAGACAGCAGATATAAAGAAGAGACAGAAGAGAGACACCAAACAAAACAAACAAAATATGCAAATGCATCAACCATTAAACTCCTATACTTACTAGAAACTAATGCAGCAGCAGCGCATGCAGCCCTATGTCAAGGGGGCCCCCCGGGGGTAAGGGACAGGGGCCCCCCCCTAGGAGACCCTATAGAAGCATTACATCATTTAGGGGCCCCAAACCCTCACACACTGTTTGTTTTTCAGGGGCTCTTGTGCTGCTGCTGTTGTTGCTGCTGTTGCTGCTGATGTGCTGCAGCAAAGCAGACAGAAGTCCCTCAGAGCAGCAGCAGAGACACCGCGGGAGAGACAAATGGATAGAGGCAGAGGCAGCTCTACGGCTTTAAAAGAAACTGTCTCCTTTTTTATAAACTGTCTCCTTTTTTGTCTCTAACACCTCCTCTTCTTCGCATGCAGACAGGGATAAACACCACCAACCCCGCCTACCAAAAGGGTTTAGGGTTTAGGGTTTAGGGTTGAGGATTAAGGGACTAGGGTTTAGGGTTTAGGGTTTAGGGTGACTTCTCCTTCCCCGTACCAGCAGGGGGGGGGGCCCTCAAGGGGGCCCCCCTCCAGCTCTAGGAGGCCCCCTAAGACTCATGGGGCCCCTACTAGTGCTGCTGCAGCCGCTGTGTCTGTCGCCTAGGGCCGGAGTAAAGGAGAGGGGCCCTCAAAGGGGGCCCCCTTATCTGTCTGGGGGGCCCCTCCACAGTGTTGCGGTTGCCGGCAAGTTGGGGGGCCCCCCTACCAGTTGGGGGCCCCTGAGGGGCCCCCCTACCAGTTGGGGGCCCCTGAGGGGCCCCCTTGTCTATTCTTTTACTGCAACACTTTTCTTCTTCTTTTGTCTCTTTTTCACGGGGCTGTCAGAGGGGGCGGTCCTTAGGGCACCGCAACCCCCAGCAATAGCCCCTCATACAACCCCTCTGCAGCAGCAGCAGCAGCAGCAGCAGCAGCAGCAGCAGCAGCAGGTGTGGGCAGCTGCTTTGTCTCGAGGAAGCGACAGGGGGCCCCTCCGTCTAGGACTGACGGCAGTAGAGCCGCAAAGGAGGGGCCCCCCTGACGTCACAGCAGGGGCCCGTCGGTTTGCATGCGGTGGGGGGCCCCCCTGTTTGAGTTTCGTTCATAGGGGCCCCCCTCTAGCTGTGAAGGGCCTTCGCTCAGCGGCGAGGGGGCCCCAGAGATCTCCTTGGGGCCCGCGCTTGAAGGGAGGGGCCCCTGACGATATCTGTTGGCCCCCCTCATCGCCCGCAGCAGCAGCAACTGCTGCTGCGGCTGCTGCTACAGCAGCAGCAGCAGACGCAAGTGAAGCAGCAACAGCAGCGGATGCAGCAGCAGCGGAAGCAGCAGAAGAAGTAGCAGCAAGTGTAGCTCGCGTTGCTTCTGCTTCAGCTGTGGCGGATGCAGCAGCACGAGCGCGGGAAGCAGCAGCAGCAGCAGCAGCGGCAGCAGCAGCAGCAAAAGCAGCAGCAGCAGGAACTCGCCCCCTTCCTCACATCCAAACAGACCTCCCAGGAGACAGTCTCCTTGAACGTAAATACCCCTCGTTTGAAGATATACCATCAAAGCTGCCGCCTAGGGGTCTGGGGTGTCTCCCTCAGGCAGCAAAAGGAGACACTGCAGCAGCAGCAGCAGCAGCAGCAGCAACGCTGGGGGGCCCCACAGCAGGGGTGGGGGCCCTAGGGCGGGGGGCCCCCTTGAGGGACATCCTAGGGAAGGAAGCAGCAGCTGTACAGACAGCAGCAGACGAAGAGAGACAGTTTGTTGAGGCCCGCTGGCTGCAGAGACTTGCTGAGACACACAAACTAGCAGACAAACAAATAGAGACAGTGAGGGAGCAGCAAGCAGAGAAGCTTAGGAGGATGCAGCAGCCGCCCTGTAAGAAGGAGGCACTTCAAACGGCTCTGGCCCGTGTCCTGCTGTCTCCTCTTGCTGCTGTCTCCTCTGGCTGCTGTCTCCTACTGCTGCTGTCTCCTCTTGCTGCTGTCTCCTGCTGCTGCTGCTTCTCTTGCTGCTGTCTCCTCTCGTTGCTGTCTCCTGCTGCTGCTTCTCTTGCTGCTGTCTCTTTTTGTTGCTGTCGCCTCTCGCTGCTGTCTCCGTTGTCTCCCCTTGTTGCTGTCTCTGCCTGCTGCTGTCTCCTCTTGCTGCTATCTCTTTTGTCTCCTCTACAGCGGCCTAGCTCCAGCTGAATGGGGGCGGGGCTGTGGGGCCTATCTCTTCCTGGTCTCTTCTTATCTAGTTGCTGCTGCTGCTGTTGCTGCTGCTGCTGTTGCTGCTGCTGTTCCTTTCTTTGGTGTACCCGCTGTCCGGTGTCTCCTTTTTCTTTCTGTCTCCTGTCTCCTTTTTATTCTTATGTGCTGCTGTCTCCTTGTCTCTTTTGCTTTAGGGGTATTTTCTGTTGATAGTTTGGAGGTTGAGGCCCCTGCACCCCTATTTTATGATTATAAGACCTACGGGCCCTACTTAGAGGCATACACGGTGTGTCTCCTTCTCTGTCTCCTGTCTCCTTCTGTCTTCTGTCTCCTCTATGTGTCTCCTCTCTCCTGTCTCCTTCTGTCTCTTGTCTTCTCCTCTATCTTTCTCCTGTCTCCTTTCCTGTCTGTCTCCTGTCTCCTTTTTTATCTGTCGCCTTCTCTATCTTGCTACTGTCTCCCCTCTGTATATGCTGTCTCCTTCTCTGTCTTTCTCCTGTCTCCTTTTTTATCCGTCTCCGCTCTCTTTATCTATCTGTCTCCTTCTCTGTCTGTCTTCTGTCTCCCTCTCTATCTTTCTGCTGTCTCTTTCTGTGTCTGTATCCTGGTGTTGCTCCTCACGCCTCTGTCTCCTTGTCCCCTGCCTTTGCCTCTAGGTTTGGCTGAACCTGTCTCCTTTCTCTGCAAATGTGCTATTGCTGCTGCTGCTCTTGTTGCTGCTGCTGCTGTTGCTGTTGCTGCTGCTGCTGCTGCAGGAAAAGACGAGTGACCAGGTTAGCTGCAGCGAGCTCCACTTGAACGAGGAGACTGGATTGATTGAGGAGACACCTCTTCCGAGTCCCCGTAGCAGCAGCCCCGAGCAGCAGCAGCAGCAGGAGCAGGAGGAAGAGGAGCGTCTACGTGCTGCTTCTGCTGCTGCTGTTGCTAAAGGAGAAGTCTATGGGCCTGCATGCAGTGGCTTCCGTCTGCAGCAAATAAGCCCCCCTGTAGCCCACCGCAGCGGCATCAGTTCTTTCTTTTACTTTCATGCCCCGCACTCTGCACCCTTTGTCCCCTTTATTAATGCATGCAGAAGAGAGACATTTACTCTACCGAGGCCTGCTGTTACTGCTATCAAAATTGAAAACCTTGATTCCTACGTAGACGCCCCACAGCTGCAGCCTCCCCCGCCCAGCCAGATCCCTCCTGCCTACCTGCAGCAGCTGCAGCAGCAGCAGCAACAGCAACAGCAGCAAGAACAACAACAACACCCGCAGCAACAACAACAGCAACAGCAGCAACAACAGCAACAGCAGCAACAGCAGCAGCAACAACAACAACAGCAGCAGCAGCAGCAGCAGCAGCAGCAGCAGCAGCAGCAGCGTAAGGGAATAAGCCCTTCAGCATTCTTAAAAAGACTGCCAGTAGAGGTGGGGATGTGCGTTGTGGGTATGCGGGAAGATGTAGAGGATTTGATAGATAATCTAAGACAAATAATATTTAGAAGAAAGAGACCTTATAATAAAAGGAGGGGCCCCCGGGGGTCCCCTAAGATAGGGGGCCCCCCAGAAAAGGGTACCTTCGATAACCCATGGGTAGGGTCTCTATCTGTAAAGGGCCCTATTGCTGCTGTTGCTGGCGATATAGTACTACCTGATGAGCTTGAAGTTGTGAACAAGAGTGCTTATTTATGTACAATGAATGCAAATTATTATTTAAATCTGCAGATAAAGATTGAAGAAATAGAAGAGTATGTGCTGCCTGAGTTTGGCTATGATAGTCTTAATAGAGATATTGATGCAGAGGGGTTTTTCTATATTGCTTCTTATTGCTGCCCTGTGCAGCTCTTCGGCTTTGAAGCTCAGAGGGTCCCTGAGGCCCTCTCTTCAGCTGTCTCTTCACATGCACATAAACACGCTATACGTTATTACAAGGAGACACCTTATGCACAAGCACAGAAGGCTAGGTTCGGAAGAGACCCACATACTGACCCTGTCTATACTACACTTTCCAGCTGTCTCCAAAAGGGGGGGGGCCCCCACAATAAACAGGGGGGCCCCCAGGGGGCCCCTAAAGGGCCCCCTCAGGGACTCCAGCACCAGCAGGAGACACGCAGCAGCAACGCCTTGAATACACACATACAGTCAGCAACAACAAAGAATAGTGTAAGGAGACTCGGTGTGGGGGGGGCCCCTACTTTATTGAGGAAGGGGGCCCCAGGAGGAGGCAGCGATGCAGGAGATGAAGGAGGAGACGAAGGGGCCCCCCCTTTTCCTTATGAATCTCTTGGAGAGATAGTTACAATTGAAATACATACTGATGGGTCTGCAACCCCTAGAGAAGCATTTATAGAGGCCCTAGAAAGGGTTGAGGGCCTCGCTTTAGAGACACTTGGGGCCCTTCGTACAAACTGTAAACCCTCAAGAGATGGAAATGTTGAAGAAGAATTTGAAGACCCAGATATGTACCAAGACAAACACAGGCAAGCCACATGCAGCAGCAGCAGCAGCAGCAACTGCAGCAGCAAATGCAGCAGCAGCAGCAACAGCAGCAAATGCAGCAGCAAACGGCACACAAGCAAACAAATAGACAAACAAACAAATAGACAAACCAACACAAACAAACAATATGTATGCAGATTCAGATGCCTTATAACACTTAGACGCATGCAAGCACAAACACAAACGCAAACGGAGACAGCTAAAACCAAAAGGAGACACTTCACTAACACACTCAGAGTCCCTTCCTCGTTCCCTCTTCGCAGTGTTGCTGTTAAGCAGGGGGGGCAGAGACAGTCTCCGTGTTGCAGTCTCCTGTCTCTTCTCCTTTTGTCTCTTTCGGGTTGTCTCCGCATGCATGCATGTGTCTTGGGGCTGGCAGTGGGGTGATGTGCGTGTGATGCAGATACACCGGGGTGCCCTGGAACCCTTATAAAGATTCTTTGACTCGTACACTCGATAGGCATAAGACTTTCTTTAGAAACGATATGCTGAGGCAGTATAGCCCTGTAAAGGAACAGCTATTATATAGAAGAGAAGTATTTGGAGACACTCGGGGGCCCCCTAACAGTCCCCCTGAGGGGCCCCCCAACTCGCAGCAACACCCCATGCAGGGCCCCCAACACGAAGGAGACACCCACACAAAAGAGACAGACAAAAGGACCCCACAGCAAGAGATTCATACTCTATACGCAACACAGGCACCGGTGCAGCCGCAGGAGACTGCTTCAGGGGGGCCCCCCTCGGGCCCCTCAACTCCTGCGGAGGGCCCCTTAGAGACCCTAGGGGCCCCCTTAGGGCCTCGTCCTGTGTCCCCCTTAGGGCCTTCTAGTGGGGCCCCCACAGGGCCCTCAACTGAGGCCCCCATAGGGCCCTCAACTGAAGCCCCCATAGGGCCCTCTACTGAGGCCCCCATAGGGCCCTCTACTGAGGCCCCCTTGGGTGCTCCTACAGGGACCCCCTTAGGGGCCCCCACTGGGGTGCCCTCGAAGCCTCCTGGGGCCCCGTTAGGGTCCGCTGATGCGTCTTTTGCAGGGGCTGATGATGTGTCTCCTTTTGTTTCTGATGAGGAGACAGAGCGTTTGCTAGATGAAGAGGAGTTGGAAGAGGAGTTGGTGCAGCGTAGCCCAACAATAAGACTAGAGCGAGAAAAGGAGTATCAGGCGACTTTAAAGCTGCGAGAAGACATAGAAAAAGGTAAAAAACTACAAGAAAGAGGAGACGGTGAGGGTCTCCCTAAGTTCCCCATCAAACATCAGGGCCTTGAGATGCCCCCTGATTGGGTCTTTGATGATTTTATGGCTCAGAGGGTCCCCATAGGATGGGTTACTGGCTTCACAAACGATTAAACCCTTTTATCCTCTTTTCATCCTTTTTAAACCCTTTTAAACCCTTAATAAACATTTTAAACCCTTGTAAACCCTTATTAACCCTTTTAAACCCTTATTAACCCTTTTAGACACTTTAAAACCCCTTAAAACCATTCTAAATCCTTGTAAACCCTTTTAAACCCTTATAAACCCTGATAAACTCTTTTAAATACTTTTAAACACTTTTAAGCCATTCCAAATCCTTATAAACCCTTTTAATCCCTTCTAAACCCTCTTAGACCTTCATGAACTTGATTAAACCCTTTTTAAACCCTTGTAAACCCTTACAAACCCTAATAAACCCTTATGAACCCAAATAAACCCCGGAAAACACTAGTACAGAGGGAGCAAAAAAGAAGGCTCCAACGGCTGTCTTCTTTGGCCTCTTAAAACGCTAATAAACCTTAATAGACTACAGTAAACCCTAATAAACCCTAATAAACCCTAATAAACCCTAATAAACCCTAATAAACCTTAATAAACCCTAATAAACCCTAAT